CTGGCCTACCTATTTGCATCCGAAATTAGGTTTGCTCTTAGCTGCGTAGGGATTTGCTGAGGTAGGGACTCAAGAGCAGATGCACTAGACAAATTCGATGATTTGATTCTCAGGGTCTGACCCTTAGCCTCTGTGGGGTAGTTTTTTGTGTTCCCATGGTGAAGAGATAAAGAACTGGTTTGCCTGCAGTGGAAGAGGAACTCAAACTGTGAAATCATCCTGCATAGAGATCGTCCTTGCAGGTTGAAATTTTAGAAGGTTGTTACCATTATCTCCGATGTCTTTTACTAGTGCGTGTGTCGGTCTTCCGCACACCCACCCCACCCCCATCCTGGTCTAAATCATCTCGGCAAATTAACAGGAGGTTCAATCTGCGTGTGTTGTAAGCCTTGGTTACTGAGTTGTTTTTAATGAAAGTTAGCCAAAGAGTGTTCTTTCATACTTAACGAAGGTGAAGAGACTTATTTGGTATGCCTCAGCTTTGCTTAAACTTTTTGATTAAAAGTTTAATTTGTTCGTTCTTCCTAACACTATTCTGATTTCATTTCTTTGTTTTCAATTTTTACTTATCTACCCTCCCCCAATTGAGCTACTAGACATCTTGCAAATGCCATATGTTTGTACAAGATGACAGTTTACAAGGGCTGCCTGCGCTAACATAATTTTGAGTACAGGAATGAAGACCTAACTCTCAGTGATGAAGCACTTACAGATATGAAGCCTTGCTAACATTCTATCCTCACCATAGGAAAATAAAATAAGATCCAGAGTCCAAATGTTTGACTACTAATAACAGTAAGAGCCTACCATTTGTAGTGTGACTGTGTGAAGACAAACTCTGTAATTTGAAGCAGTAGGGAGATGAAAGTAAAAAAAAAAAAAAAAAACAGTGTACCTATATTTTTCTTTAAAGGTGCAACTTACTGAGCGTTTTGTGAGGACTGATGATAGTTCCTAAAATAGTTTTTGAGTTATAGGAATTACATGACAGCCTGTTGTGGTATTGCATGCCTTTAATCCCAGGCAGAGGGCGAACGGTATCTATGAGTTTGAGGTCAGTCTTGTCTATACTATACAGGAAGTTCTAGGCCAGCCAGGGTTATATAGTGAGACACTTTCTCAAAGAAGAAAGAAAAAGAAAGAGAGAGAGAGAGAGAGAGAGAGAGAGAGAGAGAGAAAGAAAAAAGAGTGAGCTATGTGACAATTTACAGAATCTTTTCCTTTGAAGGGAATAAAATGTTTTGTCCCACTTTAGCAGCAATTATTCCATCTTTAAGACTAAGTCAGGGCCTCCTGAGTCCTAGGCAAGTGTTCTGCTACTGAGCTCCATTCCCAGCCAGTGTGCTTACTTATACCCTGCTTTCCCTACTTCTTTTATTCAGTCAGTTATCCTGGAGCTGCCACCTACTTTTTTTTCTGACTTTTTTATTTTTTATTTTTTTGGAGTTGAGGACTGAACCCAGGGCTTTGTGCTTGCTAGGCAAGCACTCTATCACTGAGCTAAATCCCCAACCCCGTGCCACATACTTTTTAATGACTGTGTATTTTAGCCACTTGTTTACAAAGCTCTCAATGTTTGTATGGAACAAAAGAAAATGTTCAGTATCATTTTAGTGGAAATTTCATTTTAGCTCTTTATCCTACCACTTTACATTCCCCCCTTAAACAAGACACATTCTACCTTTGATTTCTTTCCCCTGTAGATCAAATGTGAGAAGATACTTTGTATGCTATATTTGCTTATTAATCACTTCATCTTAGTCTTTATGCCTTCCCAAGCCTTTTCAGATTCTTCATTGTATCCAGGTGAAAGGGAAAGTTAAGAATCTAATAACATTCTTGTCCTTTGCCCACATTGTTGCTGATCAACCATATTTAGGGAAGAGTTTTCTGAATTTCTCTTTTGGACAGTACCTTCTTTCTGCCTAATCCAACTCTCTCTCTGCCTGTAATAATTTCACTCTTCTGCTTTTCTAGGGTTGTAACTTGCTTGGAAATCTGGAATTTAAGAGCATCTGGTGATAGTTTTCACAAAGTTCAGGATAATATTTTCCCTTGCTAATGGTGGGAGCCCTGTTGGTCTGTTTTCTCTCATACATGCTATCAAACATGTCCATCTTTGATTGTTAGCAGGCATCTTAGTTCCTACTTGAAACTTCACAGTTCACTTGGGGCTGGAGGTCCTTCTAGCAAGGGGTAGTTTGGTATCGTTTTATTGGTAGCAAATTGTTCTGTAGAATAAATAAAGTAAGTGTTATTTTCACTTTCTCTGAGGCTGCAGAAACTGTGACAGTTTACTTCTCAGATCTGGATTATATCCAGCTCCAAATGCTTCCAAATGAATTGTATTCTGCAAGTAAGTCCTCTTCTGTTGCAACTGTAATAGGCATGAGTTGTGCATTTGCTTGGGAGATTTCTTTTTAACAGGCATGCAACTCTTCCCAGCATATCCTCTTACAAGCTTTGACAATAATTCTTGGGAGAAGTTACTGCAACAGGAATTTTTCACTAATGTATACTGTTTAGTATGTAAATATAGTATTTCACCAAAGACTTAGTAACTTTGCATTGCATATCTCTTGGCATATAGTTGTCTACTCTTTTAAAATCATTCATACCTGTGTCTTGCAGCACTCTGTGCATGGAATTAACCTTGATTTGGGGACCACAAACATTGTGTGTTAAATCCGTGTTAGTGTAGCTTTGACATGTTTCATACACCGTGTTACAAGTATTAACACACACTCTTTCTATATATATACATATATAGTATATTTTCAGTGTACATAGTTAGATTACCCCTGTTTAGTATTTTATAATTACCAGTGCATCCTTAGAAGATGAATATAGTACAGGGCTTTAAAATATTGTGTGAGGGGTTTGTGGCATAGTTCTTAATGGTCTTGGCTGAGATTCTGCTGTCTTGTATGTTTTGTTTTGTTATGAATCATAATTTCCGTTTACTGGGAGAGGCAAGCTTATCAGAAGAAAGTAAGCCATGAGCCTGAGCTCTCTCCTAATAAAAGTACTCAAAATGATTTCATATTTCAAGCCACTTTATTAAAATTATTTTCATTTAAAGGAGATTATTTTTTATGTAACACAAAATCACCTTTCTGGAAATAGTTGAAACATGTATAAGTAGTGGTCAGAAGTATGTTATAAATAAGAAGTATGTTATAAATAAGAAGAGGTAATGTTTCAAAGAAACACCCTAAAGTAGTAATTTGAGAACATATCGTTTGAAAAAGCGAGGGATGTTGCTTTTTCATATTGTGTAGCTCCTTTGGCTTATTGGTATCTGCATGCTTTTGTCAATATGAGCCAGAAAGAGGAAGAATTCCAGCCTATGGACTGAAGAAGTAAACTTAAAGTTCTTAAAAAATGATACATGTAGCCAGGTGGTGGTGGCACACTCCTTTAATCCCAGCACTTAGGAGGCAGAGGCAGGCGGATCTCTGTGAGTTCGAGACCAGCCTGGTCTACAAGAGCTAGTTCCAGGACAGCCTCCAAAGCCACAGAGAAACCCGGTCTCAAAAAACACAGAAAAAATGATACATGTAACAGACATTTATTAGAATTTTAACTAGGGCATTGGAGGAACAAGTATTTTTTTTGGGGGGGTGGCCAATACAGGGTTTCTCTGTGTAACAGTCCTGGCACTTGTTCTGTAGACCAGGCTGGCCCCCAACTCAGAGATCAACTTGCCTCTGTCTCCAAAGTTCTGGGATTAAAGACATGCACCACCAATGCCTGGCTAAAGAAGCATCTTTTAAGGGAGTCCTCTATTATGGCTAAGACTCCATAGAAATGTTTTGGGGTGAAATAGTAACAACATAACTTCTGAGAGCCATCTTCGGCAATGCAAGACACTTTTAAAACTCAAAATCCCAAAATGCTCAAAAGCAGCATATTCGGGCTGGAGAGATGGCTCAGAGGTTAAAAGCACTGGCTGCTCTTCCAGAGACCAGGGTTCAGTTCCCAGCAACCACATGACAGCTAACAACTGTCTGTAACTCCAAAATCTGACACCCTCACTCAGACATACACACGGGAAAACTCCAATGTACATAAAGTAAGAATAAGTAAATTTTAAAAAGCAGCACATTCACTTTGATGATGAATTGTTTTCCCCATGATTTTTTTTTGCCACTCCCCTTGAGACAAGGTGTCTTTATGTTGCCCTGGCTGTCTTGAAACTCTTTTTATGTAGACAATGCTGGCATTGAACTCACAGAGATCAGCCTGCCTTTGCCTCCCAAGTGCTGAGATTAATGGAATGTACCACCATGCCTAGCTTGATTTTGGCTTTCTTTTTCACTATATGTTAAGTGTTTGACAATAGTTATTGTGAAAGGAGACACACAAACACACACACACATACACACACACACACACAGAGAGAGAGAGAGAGAGAGAGAGAGAGAGAGAGAGAGAGAGACAGAGACAGAGACACAGAAACAGAGACAGAGACAGAGACAGAGAGAGGGACAAGAGAGAGGAGAGACAGAGAGAGAGCCTTAACTGTAGCAGACTACATCTCCGGCAAAGGTAATTTTGTAAGTATTGTTCAGATTAGGTATCAGCTAGAAAATACTAGTAGAAAACTGCTGAAATTGTAGAAATCCATCTATCTACCTTGTATCCCAAGCCTTTCTTGTATCCATTCATTGAGTGTTAACATTTGTCACTTCTCACCTGGGCCGCTGAGGTAGCTGGCATTCAGTTGGTAGCTAGTCTTGCCCTCCAGTCACTCTTCTCCTTGGTTACTTTCTAGTTGGTTACTACTTGGTTGGTTTTTAAATGAAATGAAATAATCATTCTCCTAGGAAAACTCCTTCAGGCAGTGGGCATGGTGGCTCATGCTTGTAATCACAGCCTGGCCTGCATATTGACACCTTGTCTCCAAAACCAAACCAAGCCCAGAATGGTGGCTTACTCCTGTGATTCCAGCACTTGGAAGGCTGAGGCAGGAGGATCGACATGAGTTCTCAGCTGTCCTGGGCTGCATAGTGAATTCCAAGCTAGCCTGGAATTCAAAGAGTGAGATATTGTCTCCAAAAACATGAATGAAATATGAGGAAAAAAATTAAAAACATCTTCAGGATTCATTAGATGTCAAAATAAAATCCATCCACATTGGCATAGACACAAGTAATGGCCTTGATCTGGATCCATGTTCCTTTTCCAACAGTGTCTCTCCATTTTCTTCTTTCCCCATGAACCCAGACTCCAGTCATCAGGAGATATGTAGCCCTCGTCTCCAAATTCACTATAGCTCTTACTTCGGTGTCACTGTATATGCCATTCCCTGTAACTTGGATGTATTTCAAGTCATTTTGCTTTGTTTGATCTCGGGTATCACTAGGTAGCCCAGACTGACTTTGAATTTGGAGCAGTCCTGCCTCAGCCTCCTGAGTGCTAGAGCTGAAGGTATGTGTGTCGACACACCCAGTCAACTTGCAGCCTTCATTGTACATTCTGTGAAGTGATCTGGCTCTGCTTTCCCACGTCCACTCCAAGCACTGTAACAAAACAAATCCCCTTTGGATTTCCTAACACTGGTCCCTTGATGCTTTCTCCAAAGCCCCACTTCTGCATTTAGCACTTATTTGTGTGTGTGTGTGTGTGTGTGTGTGTGTGTGTGTGTGTGTGTGTGTGTGTGTGTGTGTGTGTGTGCGTGCGCGCGCGCGTGCGCGCGCGCGTGCGTGCATTTTACTGCTGAGATCCTAGCATGTTAAATATGTTAGCTTTCCTCCCTAACACGAGCATTTTGAAGGCATGTATTTGAACATAGGGATATTTGTACCTCTAGTACTAGGGAGTGCCTAGGTCTTAGTGGGAATACAACAGGAAAAAATATTTCTGGCAATGTGTACACACAAAAGCTTCCCTCCATCCCTACCCTCACCCCCATTTGCAAGACTTCTCACCAGATAGTACTAACCACTAACAATTCTAATCTTCCTTCACTGCCTGCAGTCCCTCTTTCTTGCTGGCAAATGTAACTTTTATCACTGCTATGATATGATCAAAATGGTGCTTCCCCAGGGTGGTCTGCCAGTGCCTCCCTCCTGCAGTCCAGGCATGCATTTTTATTTATTGAACAACCTCTGTGCACCAGGCTTTGTTATAGAGACCTAGGGTAATACCAAGAAACACCCAGCTCAAGGGGAGAACAGCAATCATGGAGTAGTGGACTCAACCAAAGGATTGGATGTGAAGGAGTGAGGGGAGACAAGACTGAGAAGGCAGGGTGTCTCCTCAGGATTGTGACTAGTTCAGACAGAAAGCGTGAGAGTTTTGAAACTGACAAGCCGCAGTTTGTCTATTTCTTCTGAGAAGAAGGTGTCTGAGGTGGAGTTGAAGAGAAATGGGGCAGGGTTTTCTGTCTGTGTCTGCTTGTTATTCCACAGCGTTTGTTGACGTGGGCCGGGGTGGAGAGCAACTGGAAAGCTGGTGGGGAACACGGAAGGCTTAGTTGAAATTGCCTGCTTTTTAATTAGTGCTGGCTACTTGAAAGTATTTGGTCTTGGCACTGGGACTAGGGATGGAAAGGGCCAGGTGCAGGTAGGGAGAAAGCAAATATTTTCCTTTTCAGTTTGCCTTTGCTTCTGGAAGAGAATATGAAGTGCTGAGAACACAGGCTTCTTAGTTTCACAGTGACCAAACAAGGCAGCTGTTCTATGTCTTAGGGAGAGATGTGCTTTCTAGGGAAGGGCCAGATTGAAGGGGCCTCTATGTGGGTGGGGGAGGGATCTGAAGAAAGAAAACTTAACTCCTTTAATTTAGATCCTTAAACAAGCGCCTCCTGTTACCTCAGAGAGCTTGTGCATGTGAGATCTAGTCCAACCACATGGAGAGATGTTGCAAGCCTGGTATACTTAGCTCTTGAATACACGGTTGCAAGTGGTGATTGACTTTCCAGAGCTTCCTCCTGGGAAAGCCTTTTTAACCCATAGAGGTCACTCGGCCATAGAACTATTGTGTTTATTCTCATTTCTGTTGGCAAATGGTTTCTACCATGATTTGTTAAAAACACATCGTCTCCAACTCCCCCTTTCTTCCTCAGAACTCCCTGTCAGGGCTTGGCCTGTCCAGTGCTGGGAGAGGACATGGAAAAGGCTCCAGCAGGGCCGAGGTAGATGGCAGAGGCGGTCAGCATGTCTTTTTCAAATATGCCAGCTATTCATATTTTACAGTTCCTTATGCATTGTGTCTGCATGATGTTGATCTGCACGTGCCACTCTGGAACATGTATGGAGGTCACAGGATGTCAGTTCTCTCCTTCCAATGTGTGCAACCAGGGATAGGACTGAGGTCGTCAGGTTGGGGGCAAGCACCTTTTCCCACTGT